GGGGGGGGGGCAACAGTAATGACTTCTCGGGTCGGTGGTTGGTGGGATAGCTGATTTAAGATGGAAGATCACCATGCTAGCTAACTAGCAGCATGCATGGTATAACCATGCATTCATAACTAACAATAGGTAAGCTACATTCCCTCCCTCATGTCATGTGTGATGACTGTGTTTCATCTATGTAGTCAAAGTAACTAACTTTGGTTGAAACTGATCATATTGCAATACAGCCTTGCTCAAGATAGGATGAAGATGGGAGGCTGCACATTAGTTGCTACTTAAAAGAGGTTTGTGTTGCCTAACTGAAAAAGAAAATAAGATAAAAAATAAACCAAATACAAAACGTAGAAGCCAGGCTAGAGAGAAGGAGAATCCGACCAGATTTATAGCCAGTGGCAGTCAGAGCAGCGGTTGAACCGAGTAGGACTCACTTGTTCCCAAAGCTGAGTAAAAAACACACATTTTTTAAAATGATCTATGAACTGTTTTTTTAGACTGAAATTTTCTAAATGGATGCATCAAATTCAATAAAAAAAAAAGAATCATAGAGCCTCTTTTGTGTGTAAAAATTTAATTCACTGAGGTAATTGAAAAGTCCTGGTGAAGTACATTTTTGTTTTTAAGCAAATAAACTTTGCCCCAGTAAGCTGCTGTAGGTTCCTTCCCCTCTGTATGTTAAAGGTTAAGCCTTGCTCCAAATTTAGAGGTTAAAGGTTAAGGCATGCACTGCATTCCAAACTTGCATAGTGTGAGATTTTTCAAGCTTTTTGGCTAAAACCTGAACGCGTCCAGACAGAGCGTGTGTGTGGATGTTATATCAATTTTTAACACACGTATGAGACTGTAGGAAAGTGCTTGTTTTCTAGCAAAAAAAAAAAAAGACAAATCAGTAAACACACACATTACAAAATCTTTCAAGTTATCCCTTTTTACCTGCAATTTTCCTTCGATCTAGATGGAAGTGCAGAATGGAAAGAGCTTGAAGAGGTTTTAACCTAGGTGAATATTAATGGGGTTTTAAATAAACAATTTCCACTTTTGTAAAACCATGCTCTCCACTTTGCTGTGTGATCAGTTCATCATGACTGGCTCCTCATTAGACATGAAGTTGTTTATCTAGACGTTCCTTCCTGCTGAGGCAGCTGGTAAGCTGTTTTTCTTAGATGCCTCAAATGGCCTCTACAGACCTCTCCCAATCATTCAGATTTGTTAGGGCTACCTAATGAGGACATTCTTGCAAATTATTTCTTTGCTTCCTGCCAGCTCCACAGACTCAAAAGGAAGCAGTATTCTGGAAGCGTTAAACACATCTGTCAGATTTAATCAAATAAAAATGTTCTCACTGTGGCATTATCTTGTTACTGGTTGGGTTAATCAAAACACCAGCGACAAGTGTGTCCAGGTGGTTAACATGGACCATATTTTGCAACTGTGATGATTCAGAAAAAACAGAAGCAGATTTAGGAGTTAAAAGCAGAGTCAAATATATTTGATATAATCATGGCTGCTAATAAAGGTCCAGTGTGTAGGATTTAATGGCATCCAGCGGTGTAGTTGCAGATTGCAAACTATGGTGGCCGCGAAATGCATGAAAAATTCAAGCGTCCCTATCTAGAGCCAATGTTTGGTTTGTCCCTTCTGGGCTACTGTAGAAACGTGGCCATTTAACATTTTGGAGTATCTATAGATATAAAAAGCTCATTCTGAGGTCCAAAAAACACAACAGTTCTTCTACTCAGTGATTACACACTAATGAAAATCTAGTTATGCATATTATATGCCATTTCTGCCAATAGATTGATATAAATGTTACACACTGGACCTTTAAGAGGCAATTTTAAAGAAGAGTTTAACACATTTGATCTATAAATCAACAGAGAATGTCAAGGATAACACAAGTGTAACATAAGGACTGAACACCTAAAAGCAGTTGAAACAGCTGAAAGCCTTATAATGACATTAGTTTTCACTGGAGGGCATAAATATTATCAGGTCTATCCTGTGGTAGGAGTTAGCAATATGGATTGATATGTACATCAATATACGTATACATTATATTTTCACTTTCTTAAAGAGACTCACTTACAAATGAAGTTTACTTGTCATGAGTAGTTCGACTCACCCTGTGAAAACAGTATAATGTCTTCTGTGGTTCTGGAGGGAGCCTTCCAAAGTTTGAAAAATAACCCTGACGATGTCATCATGGAGTAGATCTGCTTTTCCTTCATGTCAAAAAGAGCCTGTAGAGGTGGTTCAGGCATTTTGCCTCTTGGGTGCCCTACTTTGTAGGTTTTCTGGTAGGAGACCCTGTAGGAGACTCCGGGGTAGACCGAGAACACGATGAACAGATTATATTTCTCATCTGGTTTGGGAGTGCCTCGGGACCCCCTTAGAAGGAGCTGGAAAAAGTTGCTGGAGAGAGAGACATCTGGACTATTTTGCTTAGCCTGCTGCCACTGTGACCCGGCCCCAGATGAGTGGAAGAAAATGGACGGATGGATGCAAATGTACGATCTTTAGTTTTTAAAGCTTGACCCAAACAAGGGACTAATAGTCATGATAACTTCGGCCTATGCACCATCAATTTTTACTATTCTTTTTTTAATGTCACTTGTGAGAACAACAATATTGCTGTTATATTACCCATCCCACTGAGAAAGTATCAATACATTAAATATCCAGGCAGAAATCTGCCAGGTTAATCCAGAAAATTAATTACCTGAAAACATAAAGTATTTCATCACATTGATGCAAAAATCATATAATTTCTTTGTTTTTGAAACATTATGCACAATGGCCCAACACTACCAAAGATATTAAAAGAATAGCTACCACCATACAAATGGTATGGAAAAAGTCTATACTGCCTTATAGTCATATTGCTCAACCCTATTCTGGGGTAATTTTATTCCTGCTCTGATCAATGTATGGGATTTGACGCAGTTGTGTGCTAGAACAGCATCAGTCTTTACATTATGAGGCCATCTGAAGAGTGTTCTTCCTGTTTCACTATAGGGCATATGTGGCATGTTCGACTGGGTGGGTCCCTTGACTACTGCGGTTCTACAGTAAATTATTTACCATCCGGATGACTGGAATTATCAAGTGCATGGGGAAAATTTAATTACCGACCTTCCCTGGTAATACTAATGCTGTCCAGAACCTCTTTTTCCTAACAACATAATGACAGCGGCACGAATATCAAGAGGTTGTGTAATCCCTCTGCAACTACTGGCCAGGTGTTTAAATGTTAGGTAAGGTTTGGTTAGCTTTCTAATGGAGAGCAGCAGGTGTAAGTCCCTTTGCTAATGGATACTTCACTTCATGTTTATAATTCCATGAGCTTCAATAGTAATTTTATGTTCTTTTTGAAGGCAGAAACCAATTTGTAAACGGTTTTCAGGCACTTCACATCCATTAGGGATTTTCCACACAGTTGCCCTACATTGCCCCTAGAGGTCATTTAAACAATTGCTTTATTTTCACACTTAATACTTTAAGACTGAACCAAATTACTTATCCCCGAAACTTTTATCCTACTGTTTGTGTCTATCACCATGCAGATTTATTGAGGGGGGGTCTTAATCTTATCAAAACATGTATATTAGGTCAATTTCTCCAGTCAGTGCCCGTAGGCAATGGCTTAGATCTGGAGTTGTTCCCTGGGCGCTGTACAGTGGCTGATCACTGCTCCTAGTCCTTAGGATAGGTTAAATGCAGAGGACAACTGTCACTGTATGTTGTACTGTGTATGATTGTATATGTGATGGTAAAGTTGATTCTATTCTATTATGTTCTAACTTAACAGGGTTTGACGGGTCAGAAACCTACTTGCCCTAAGTTTTACTTGCCCCTATAAAACATGTTTTATTTATTAGCAGGTACTAAATATAAAGACTACAGTTACCTGTCATGTTTAATATTTATTTAAACATACAGTACTTCACGTTTTTAACTGGTTGTGAAACTGGTTGAGTCAATTTAATGCCTGCCACCAATTCGGTCGGATTCTCCTCAAAATCAATGATACAAGGCGGTGGAAACACTACTGCTTTTGTCCACAGGGGCCACCAGAATCAATACAAAATAAAAGTTACTTGTAGCTGCTTTAAATAAATGAATCAGAAACAAATTAGATTAAATACAGAGTTTTGCTCACATATTGAAACCGTACTAAACTCCTGTTTTCTAGGATAACTGAAATGCTCAGCTCATAAACTTTGTATTTATCCACCGCCATTTTCTCACGAGTGCTCAATTGGTAACGCACATGTGCAACCGTCAACGGAGATGAGAAGGAAGCGAGAGATGGCTCATGAATCTGCTTGTGGGAGTTGAGTGGTGAGGCATTCCTGCAGATCAGGTAGCATAGTGCTATTTTGGTACTCAGTTTTGCGTGAAACTGGACTTATGTTTCTGCCTTAGACAACTTCTTTTCCCAAACACAATTTTAAAATGTAAAAAAACTTGTAAATAGTGTCACAAAAAAGAGGCCTTTACTCTCTCTCGTGCTACAAATTTTCTGGGATTCTCTTCCTCTCTTATTAAAGCACGTTCTTGGACAAGGATTTTTTTTTATTTCCAACTGACTCGATAATTGCTTACAATGTCAAGACATATTTAAGGTCCCTTCTGTGCTAATCGCATCTGTTGTTTTATAATTCAACACAAGCCTCAAAAGGGGAAAAAACTAATTTTCACAATAGTCATAACTTAAACATTACTGCACTGTGGGTCAATCCTAGCCGATGATCAACTTTTGCTGCCTATTCGAATAATGCAAGGTGTTGATATGAGAGACCTTGAATTAAATTCTCTTTGTTTTTTTGTTTTTTTATATATAGCAGTGTCCCAGCCAAGAACGGTGCTGCTTCTCTTTGGAAGAAGACACATTCACACTGACTTAGCTGAGACTGTCACTGATGAGCACTGCAGTGAGCATAACGCTGCCCCCTCTGTCATGAATGCTCT